CTGTGGTGATTTTATCAGGTAACTACAAAGAGGAATCCCCAAACTTCCATTTACAATTGACCCTGACTCTGAGATAAAACCAATTCCTTGATGTCCAGACCACCAAGTTACTCCACCAATCAGCGACTTAAGAGCATCAGGATGTGACTGAAGCTTTGAACAGAATCAACAAGCTCCGTGGGGCAGCAATCATCCAGGGTAATTTGCCCCAAGTGGTTCTGAATGTATGGCCTCACTTCCATGAAACCACCCTTTAGCCCCCTGACTCAAAGACTACTTCGTCTGAATAACAGGAAAAGCCTCACGGAATCCCCTCCTAGCTAAAGGAGTAAATGAAAAGCAAGTTCATTTCATACTGGTCAGATGGATGTTCTATAGTGTTAAACTCTACAGATCCACCTCAAAGCAAAACGATCATGACTGCTATTGATGAAACAGAAGCGACCTCATTCAACCACTCTTAGAAGTAAATGATTGACAAGTAATCTTTCTTTGCCCTAAAAAACTAACAACAACATGCCAGATTCAACTAATTTGGCAGCTTGAAAAAGCAAACTGTCCCCCTCCACTGGCCACCTTCATGAGCTGTGATTTCAATTCAATAGTTTTAAGAACTAATTGAGTAGTGTGGGTCTCAGGCCTGGCTGGTCCCAGGTCTGGCTGTGATCCAGGCTCGCGGCTAGGAATAGGACCTAGGATTTAGAATATTTCATTCGTGTAGTCGGGCGCCTGCACCTAAATTTTGTAAACATAATTCAGCTTATTGTAACATGCGTGTGTGGCTGAAGGCCACTATTGTACTCTGATATATGTGGAGCCCATGCGGTCCCCTGGGGAGCAGAAGAGGAACAGAAGAAGAGCAGAGGCAGAAGCACGCTCCCCTGAATAGAGCTGTACTCCCCGCAGTAGAAGCGCGCTCCCCGCAGTAAAGTCGGTGCCTGCTGTTTCATTCTCATGTCAGCCTCTCGTCCATTCTTCCACCTGGGCGGCTCACCACAAAAACCTTCCCTTCTCGATCAGCTTGGCACTGACAAGTAGGAACAAAGTGTAAGTGACACCGGGAAACCTGAGGTTTAATTCTCTAAACACTGAACATTTTTGTATTTTAACTGTTTTGAACAGAAATCTTAAAAATATATATCACCATCGTCCCTGCTTTCTTTCTTTTTTTCTTATTGAGTCTTAAGCCATTGAAGTCCCTAAACTACCAGGCTTGGCTCTGCCTGAAGATACTGATTGAGGATTATTACTTTGTATGCTCAATGCTTGCTGTGTCAACTGCACCCAATGTAATTTGATTTCGTCTTAATTTCTCTGGGGCACCACTGGAAACTAGTTATTGTGCAATATTATAATGCTCTCATGCTTTCAAAAGGGTTGCTGGATTTTGCAAACAAAAATATAGGCTACCCAGTTAAATCTGAATTCTGATAAACGGTGAACTATTTTTAGGATTAGTATATCCCAAGTATTGAATATCCTAAACAATTATTCATTGTTTATTTGAAATTTAAATTTAACTAAGTGTCTTGTATTTTAATCTGGTAACTCTAATCAGGTCCACCGAGATACATAGTCCTGTTTGGCTTTGGCTGTCTTTAGATATGCTGCTCTCATTTATGTCTGTAGGGAGCCAAAACTTTGCCTTTCAGATCTGTTATGACAGAGAGGCCAAAGCTGGTCCTTTGCCCCAGTGTCCCCAAGCTGCTGTTTTTCTCTCTTCCTTTACGGCTGTTCTTTACTGATACTTTTTATCCCTATTGCTACTTTTGATGTCTGCCACCTTTTTCCTAAACTGTGCTCCTTTCTCTTCTGTACTATTTTTTCTTCCTAAGGGTAGTGTTTTAAAGCACAGACTTTAAAGGCAGAAAAATTAGGATTTGTATCCCAACTTACCTTTCAGTAGATTTGGGAACTTTAGTAAGTTACCTAATGTCTGAAAGCCTCAGTTTCTCCTTCTATAAAATACAGGTCTTCTGTAAAATACTAATGTCTACTTTATAGGACTGTTGTGAGGGTTAAATGAGATGATAAGGGCAAACTACACAAAAGTACAATTCTTATTAGATTGTTACTATTTAAAGACCTTCAGGCTTTGGATACTGACTTGACATTTTTGAATGTGTTAGATGCCTAGAGTTACAATTTAGGCTCTGCTGACATTCTTTCTCGGTAAGCTTTTGTACTGTCTGGCTTGTCTGTTACATTATCACCAACCAGTTCAGTTCAGTTGAGGAAATAATGTGTTAAATTTCTACTATGTGCTAAGCACTATGGTAGGGGCTGAAGATTCAGAGATTAATAGGATAGTACTGACCTTAGGGAAAGTGTTGGGCAGAAAGGGTAGATATAAAACAGGTACAATGTATTAAGTAAATTATCTAGATGTTCACAGAATCCTTCAAGATGCTATGTGACCACAGAGAAGAAGTTCAGACCCCTGAGAGGAAGGGGACAAGAAAAGTCTTCAAGTTTGTATTAATATCTGAGCTGATGAGTGGGGCAAGCTATAAAAAATATGAGGGAGCAGTACAAATGTATTCTATACTTAGTGACTAGCATAAGGAATAGGAATAGGTATTATAGATGGTACATACAGGGAAACACAAAGCAGTTCGATATTATTAGAGTATAAATTGTAAAGCTAGGAAAAGCTAATGAAGGTATTAATTTCTTTTGGTTACCAGTTTTGGGGCTCATATCTTTAAATCAATTGTGGATCTCATACATGGCCCTCTATTTTCATTGTTGCTTTTATTTGCATAGAATCATTTTTTATTTCATGCCCATCCAAGATGTTAAAACATGTTACCGTTTCATAAGTAATTCCCCCTTTCATTTTTCTCATTTTAAAGCTTACTGGACAGACTAAAATGTCTTTCTTTTCTCTCTAATAAATAAATAAATAAATGTATTTATGTCATAAAGTGTATTTTTTCCTGCTGGTGTATTTTTAAAATATTTTAAATCTTTCCTTTCACAATCATATTTATTTATCAATAACCTACTATTTTTTGAATGAATGAAATGAATATTCTTAGAATATTGCCTAGCTATTATTATTATGTACCATGCAAATTTTAGTTTCAAAATATTTGAACATTGAGATCTAATATATATTCCACCATCCAGGAATTTTTCTCAAGATCTTACTACAAAAATTTTTAAAGCCAGTTAATCTACTCTAAGACAGCTATTTAATTGTATTTTTCTGGACGTTCTCTCTTTTTACAGCTCTCTTGGACATAGTTTATATCATTTGCGATAAAAAGAGACATAGGCTTGATGCATAGTGTTGCAGAAAAGTTGCAAAACCCGCCCCCCCCAAAAACAAAAAACAAAAAACTCAGACCAGGGAGAAATTTAGCAGCACCCAGGAATTTGGAGAAACTCAGTTTTATTATGCTGGAAGTCCCAGAAGAGCTAGTGCTCTGAAAATCTGGACCCTGAACTTAGGGGCAATTTCACTTTTATACTCACGTTTTTACAGTTGGCATGGGCTGATTTATAGACCTCTGAAATTGCTATGGGCTATGGGTAGTTAGAGAGCATGGGATTTTCTAACAAGTACTAAAGCAATACATCTTAAGGTGAGAGTGAGTTCTCAGTTTATCTCAAGATCTTTGGCCTATGCAGCAAGCAAGTTTACAGAAGCAGAACAAAGAACTGATTGGAAATGTTGGCCATTTAAGTGAGAAATTCCTCTTCAATAGCAGCATTGTGTTAAGAGGAAGCTCTACTAGTGGATGATCAAACTAAACCTAGAATATTAAGTGCAGCCTGTCAATCACCAGAATGGGTTACAGTAGTTGGAGGGTTTCCAGTAAAGATATTGGAAGGCCTTTTAAAAAGTTTGAAAGGTATCCGTGAAGCCAGGAAGGCATTAGTCCTTTAAAACCCTGAGATCCTCTGACCCCATTTGTTCTTCCCCCACTTGCCCTGTTCTGGATAATGACACTAGGCCCATTGGTGTCGCCGCTTGGGGCTCTGCTCAGCCTCAAGGGCCTCCAGGAAGGGAAGAAGCAATCATTTCCAAATGAATAAGCCTTCTTCCAGGCTACTGGGTGGCAGCCTGTGCCAGAGCAAACCTCGTTGGTTTTTAGTGTCAGTGGCTGGCATTTTTAGAAGCGGACTGTTTCTTTCCTGGATCCACCTCCCCCACTCCCTCTCATGGTCTTTGCCCTAAAGGACTTTGCCTTTCCTTTCGCAAAGGAACTCCCTGGCGGGCACCCCGGACACCCAGGCACCCTCCGCAGCAGGCCAGCGCAGCAGAGGCCCGCGACGGGAGTCGCTCCGTCTTGCCTCGTACCCTCAGGCCACATCTAGCAGGAGGCAGTGCCCCGTGCGGTGACGCGACGGTGAAGCCGGCTCCGGGGGCTGCTCCACCCGCAGCCCAGGTGCCACGCCTTGGGGACAGAGAAGGCAAGCGCTGAGTCGGGGCTGCCAGAACAGAGCCGGGAACGGCGTTTGCCCGGGCCGAGGCGGAAGTCGGAGCGTTTGGGGGACGGGACCGCGGGAACCCGGAAACGCCTGGGCCGTACGGGGCTGGCGGCAGCGACGGCGGCGGCGGGCAGCGCTGCG